AACAAGCTCCACGAACTCAACCCGGGGCTGAGCAACCGCACGAAGCACACGATGAAGCCGCCGCAGCTCATGCGCGTGGGCACGAAGAAGACGCTGTGGGTCAACTTTCAGGAGATTTGCAAGATGATGCACCGCAACCCGGAGCACGTGCTTCAGTTTACGCTCTCGGAGCTCGGCACGGAAGGCTCGATCGATGGCTCGCAGCGCCTCGTCATCCGCGGTCGGTATGTGCCCAAGTACATTGAGTCGCTCCTCCGCAAGTACATCACCGAGTACGTCACGTGCCAAATGTGCCGCAGCCCCAACACGACCTTGACGCGCGACAACGTCTCGCGCCTCCACTTTGTCCACTGCCAAGAGTGCGGTTCGAGCCGCTCCGTCGCCGCCATCCGCTCGGGTTTCCATGCTGCGACCCGCGCCGACCGTCGTGCGGCCCGAAAGTAAGCCCCACCCATAGACTTGACACAGACGAAATACCCGAGGTGGACGGACCCGTGTCGTTTAATATAGCCGCTGTAAACACGATGTCTGAACACTTGATGGAATCTCGCACCGCACCGTACGACCATGGGCTCCTGGCAACATCAACGGTACAAGTTTTTGTCTAGCAGCCATCGCAGACCCCGTGGCTTTCCGTTCTCGTTGGGCTGGAGTGCATCATGTCGAGAGCCGAGATCGCATCGGCTCGCCATCGACTTGGTTTCTGTCCCTGCCACTTTTTTCCTTGGTTCCAACCGCAAGGGCAGACGATGCGTTGTACGACGTGGGGCTCATCAGCAGAGACCGGCGTCTCTGCAATGCGCTCGACTGGCGAATGAGCTGCACCACTGCATGCCGACAGGCTCCTGTACAAGGAACGAGGTGGCGACCCGAAGCGCGTGTAGAAGCACTGTAGCTGCTCCTGCTAAAGCGACGACCCGATACCACCGCTCTTCGAAGACAATCGAATGTCGTGACGGCAGCTATTGCAGCCGTCGCCGTGGCCAGCATCGAAAGCCAAGAACACGGGCGCCATCCGACAACATGTCTCCTGCAGAGCCTCCATGATTGAGCTTTTCTTGCACCATCAAAGGCTGATGACACGTTAGAAAGCAAGTCTTTATCGGTGGTAAAAGTCGCGGGGTGAGAGGAGCGGCCTCGGTGCAACGATTGCCGTTTGCGGTCGGCGCTGGCTCTCGACTTTGGAGCACGACATGGCCACCGAAGGTAGTGCGTGGAGCCCGAGCGCGTGCGGAAACAACTCGGCGCCGCTCGTGGACGGCCGACCTTTTCGAGTCGTCGCTTGCTTGGGTCGGTACCCTGACATGGGCGCCACAAGCCCAAGGCCCACCGCCTTGTTCAACGAAAGCTCCCAGCGCGATACCTTGAAGCGCGCCCAGAGCCGCGGAGCGTCGGCCGCCCGCTGCCAGCGATAGCACACCTGCAACGCTCGGCTGAGGTCCCTAGACTCCAAAGCAGCAGTTAGCACTCTGTTTCAAACACTGTAAAAAGGCGTACGGGAGTGAAAGGTAGGAAAAAATATGCTCGCGGTGCTTGGTTTGGAGCGTGCTCTCGGGACCTACGCGCGTCTATTCTGTGGCCACAACCATGCGCTGTACTCGCTGGTCGATGTGTCGGCTCTCGAACGAGCCGGTCAGCATCCTCCTTGCCTGTACCGAGCTCATGAGTCATGCACATATGGAAGTGATGGGGTGCGCACTGGAAGCAAACTCGTGCCGGGTTCGGTCGTCGGTCGCTTCGTCCTCGGCGCAGTCGTCGAAGCGATTCCGGATGCGCCAGTCGACGTCTCGCCGCAGCAGCAAGCGCACGATGCGAAAGTGGCCTTTCCGCGCTGCGTAAAAGAGTGCTGTCTCGTGGTCCTATGTGCTGGAGGTGTAGAGACCGTCTCAATGTGGTCGACGAAAGTCGTCTCGTACGCTGGTGACGGCGTTGACATTGGCGCCTTTGTCGAGGAGAAATTCTGCGATATGGAAATGGCCTCCATGGCACGCCAAGTGCAGCGCGGCTTCGCCAAACTACATGATGTTTCGAGGGATGACTGCGTTGTCGCCATGGACTACCTTGTTGGTTTGATTGAGTGACCAGCCGAATTGGACCAAGAGCTCGGCGATCGCCAAGTGCCCGCGCGTCGCAGCGTGATGCAGCGGCGTGTAGCCTTGCTACGCAGAGGTATAGATGAGGCTGCAGCGACGCCGAGATGAAGGCGGCACCATGCCGAGGCAGTGTTGTGGCGACACGCCTTGGTGCAAGAGCAAGTACATGGCCTTCTTGTTGCCCTTCTCGGCGGCGATAAGCGCCTGCTGGGCTAACTGGTCGCGCTCGGTCGACATGAGCCCATTGAGCTTGTCTGCATACTGCGTCGTCGAGCGCTACATGACGCCGTGAGCATGGCTGGCGCGAGCGGTCGCGGTCACCTCGGGCGCCAGAGGCTGCTTCTTGGGCGTCTTGGGCTTCTGCCGGTGCTTGCGTCCCGACGACGTCGACGGGCGCTGCCAAGACTCGTCCTGGTTCTCGGTCCCGCGCAGCATCGAGCGAACTGCTAAAATTAGATTGCGACACAGTGAAATACTGTACATCACAGAAATGGTGTGACATGCGCGTTATAAAGACTACGACGCCCTTGTTAGTAGAACGTGGATACGACCGTGGTCGCCAATACAATTTGGACAAGGATGGAACCTGAGGTCGAGTTCACGGCGCAGGAAGCAGCTGTCTATGACCGGCAGATGCGCCTCTGGGGCGTCGAGGCCCAGCGCCGGCTGCAGAACTCGCATGTGCTCATCAGCGGCCTCACGCAGCTCGGTGCGGAGCTCGCCAAGAACCTCGTGCTCTCGGGCATGAACGTCACGCTCCATGACACCAACGTCGTGACCCAAGACCACGTCGAGTCGCAGTTTCTGCTTCGCGCCGAGCATGTGGGCCAGAACGTACGATTCGGATGCATAGACGTAGTTGCTCATGGTATGACCGTAGCTCGCCGACGCCTGCCTCGCTAGCGTGCGCGACTTGAACCCGCTCGTCAAGGTCGAAGCGCTCACAAAGCCGTTGGCCGAGTATCCGTCCGACTTCTTCAGCACGTTTAGTGTCGTCTGCGTCATGTCGGCTCCGCGCAAGCTCCAGGTCGCACTCCCATCATCGTCTGTCACACGGCTCATGCACTTCGTAGGTGCACTTGGACGCGATCTGCCGCGAAAAGAACATTGCGTTCTACGCGGGGCATGCGTTTGGGCTCTCGGGCATCTTCTTCGCAGACCTCAACACGCACACGTATCGGCGCAACGTGCCTGCAGGCGTCGAGAACGCCGAGGCGCCGCCGGCAATCACACTTGAGTTTCCGTCGCTCGCGACCTCGATCGGTGTGCGATGGGCCGACTTGAAGCCGACGCGGAAGCGAGGCCCGGGCATTCCCGAGCCGTACGTCGCCTACCAACGTACGTACAATCCCTTCTCGTGGCCTCGATCTCACATACCATGCAGTGCTCCTCGACTACTGCGACGCCCACGGTGCATTCCCGTCCCCGGCCGTCGCCGCCGCGTTCACTGCCTTCGCCCACGACCAGCTCGTCCAGCAAGGCCTTGCGCGCGACTTCTTCTCGTCCGAGGTGCTCGCGACGCTGGCCAAGGTGGCCCACGCCGACGTTGTGCCCGTGTGTGCTATCACGGCTGGCATCCTCGGCCAAGAGATCATCAAAGCCATTTCGCTCAAGGACGAGCCGCTCTGCAACTACTTTTACTTTGACGGGTCTGCCGGCACGGTGCGCCGCATTGGGTAAAGCAAATAGAGCATGACACGGCGAAACAAGCAAGACGAAGAAGAAAAAGTGTTGTCGTAAGCCTGGCGCACGCTCGGCGTGTGTACTAGAGACGGGAAGAAGGTAGACTACTACATGCGCGAGTCTACTTTAACGGTTGGCTTGTTTAATCCTGCTCGCTGACGTCCTCGAAGTTCTCGACGAGGTCCGGGACATCGTCATCGTCTTCGTCGTCGAGGGCCGAGTGGCCCTGGGCGTTGCGCTGCATGGCCGTGTACGTCTCGGCGATCTGCTTCAAGTTGGCAAGGTTGTCCGGGCCCAACTGGTTGATGATGCCGGGGAGCAACTCCTGGAGCGACTTGGTCGAGGCAGGGCCCGAGACAGCGAACGTGTTGGAGGCGATCGAGGCCTGGACCTTGGGCTGGACAAAGTGGATGACCTGGCCGTCGGCCTTGAAGAGGTTGACTTCGTTCACGTCCGGCATGGGCGTCACGCCGAGCTTCTTGAGGGCGGCGTTGAGCTTCTTGTCATCACCCGGGGCGGGCTTGTGCGCCGCCTTGTGCTTTCGGCGCACCGAGCCCTTGCCGCCGGTGCGGACGTCGCCGAACTTGGCGGCGAGGCGTTCACGCGCGAGAGCAATTTCGTCAGCCATGTCTACAGCAGGAAGGACGCATGAGCCGGAGGAGGAGACGAGGCTGCATCGCACCTAGTAAGAGGATTGAGCAAGTAAACCAGGCTTTAGCGCTCACGCTCCAGCGCTCGCTCAACCCGGGCCCTAGCGTCCACCAACCACATCGCTCGGACCAATTAAATGGCCGGCGGCTGGCGATCGGGGTTTTGACGTTTTTAATATTCTCGATGTATGGCGATTCGCGTCAAAGGCTCGATTGCAATGGACATACAAATGGCAAGGTATTTGCGGTGCGCGCGCTATTTTATACAGGGCATCCAGGGCCAATCGTAATCGTCATGTTTTCTACCAATCACAATCAAGATACCGACCGCCTTTTTATTATTTCGACGCCGGCAGTATACAAAACGCATATTAAGATGCGCTTCCGCCATTGAATTGCGCGCCATGAATTTCAAGCTTTTTCGCCAATCAAATTCCGGTGCTGTACCGAGGCAACGTGGCCGCGGCGGCGGCCAGGACGTTGACGGCGCCATGAGGTTGTCGGCTCCACGCTGCTTCGCACGGCAAATGCATGTATTGCATCGATCCTATTATAATGGCGTGCGCAGGAGGAGCGTCCGTTGTGGCAACGAAAATGACGTGGCGGACGCGTTACGTGCAGCGGCAGCTGGCTCACGATCGACGAGTGCAACGCTTGATTGATTGATTGAATACTGCCATGACAACGACACTATTACACTTTGGTCGGCTCGAGCTTTGTGACTTCGGGCTCGATCTCGTCGTCGAGGAGGCTCTTGATGGGGCAGATTTGGATGTTCATTTCGGCCGAGACGGTCACAATGGCATTCTTGGGCACCTGAGGAGTCCAATTCGAGTACACAAACCAAGATCCAAGAATCGCACCTCGAGCCAGTCGCCAGGTTCGTTGGACAAGCGCTCGGACGCCATGACAAACACCTTCTCTTCCTTGTTGTGCTACATCCCACCATCGGCGTGAGAGGACCTCTTAGATCGCATCGGGCGTACACGCTGCATGATGTATTCCTTCGGACGCTCCACCGACCGGATCCAGCGCGACCCGGACGAAAAGTAGAGTGACGCGGCCCCCGACGACGCGACGTTGACGTAGCGCGTCCTAATAGGATGCGTGAGCCGTCATGACATCACAGCGTCATCGTACGCAATGAGCGTGTCACCGTCCGTGACGGCAAAGTTGAGCAACGACGGCTCCGTGATCTCGGCTTCCCTACACTCGAACGATGTGGACGATCGTTACAGCGCTGCAGCGGTAGTACCGGGAGAGGGCGTTGAGGATTTTGATCGTGTTGAACATGGCGTGGCGCATCTCCTTGCCCGTGAAGACGCCTTCGAGCGGCCCGAGCTTCTCGAGCTCCGTGAGGTACAGCGCAAAGCTAGCCCAACGTTAGGACTCGCAGGTAATAGTGAGACGTATTACCAGTGCTCCGAGTCGGTGCTGCCGCGGATCATGTCGTACGCCACGTCGCTACGCACGTTCTTGACCGATCGCCGGGTATTAGTAGAGTGGTGGCACCTTAGTCGGTCGACAAGCTTGCGCTTGATCTTGTTGAAGTCGGCGACGCCGCTGCGCATGGCAATGAGCCTGCGTGGCCATGGGCAGTGTCTTCGTACCCGTTGTGCATGAAGAGGTACTTGTCGAACGTGAACGGGTGGCAGTTGGTTTCGGACGTGAGCGACCCGATCGAGGCGGCGCGCACGTGGGCGAAGAAGAGCGGCGAGCTACAGACGACGACCATGCGAACGAGGTCGACTACGAAGAACGTTCGTCTACCTGACTTTGTCGGCGAGCTGCACCAAGTTGCGGTTGTTCCACGCCGGCGAGATGCTCGTAAAGACGCACGGTGTCTCGTACTCGCGGTCGCGCGGCACGACGACGCCGTCGACCGAGTCCGAGTGGCGGCGCTGCTTCTTGGGCGACCGCATCTCGTCGTCGTTCTCGTTGCGCCGCGTCTTGCTGCTGTAGAGCTTCTCGGCGTACCAGCCAATGCCAAAGCCATCGGCGTTGAGCGTCGGCGGCAGGCCCGTGTTGTGGAAGCGCTCGGTGCAGCTGTAGCTCTGGTGGATGATGCTGTGCTTGGGCTTCACGATGAGGTCGGCGAGCAGGATCGACTGGTCGAGGCCCAGGCCCTTGTAGATCGTCATGCGGCACATGGCGTTAGTCTTGCCAATGCGAAAATACCAGATAACGGCCCCAAGTGCAATTTTGACTGGCTCTTTGTATGCCGAAATGGGCTTTTTGGCAGCCCTTGGAAGCAGCCGCCCGATGCCCAGCAGCGCAGCAGGATGACGCCAGAGGATGCAGCTTGGACGACAGCAACAGCGGCAAGGCCACCGCGGTACGGCTGGCCGCCAAGGACGAGCGGACGAAGCCTGCTATTGTACGGCACCGAACCGATTGGGGAGCGGTACGACCCATGTGCAAGTCACTCGCACATGGGCAAAGAGGGAAGTTCCCTCGGCCATCCTTCCCGCCATCTCCGTTTCCGCCACCACACGGAATGTAGAAGATCGCTTCGCTGCGATTGGCGCAGTGGTCGATGACGGGCGCGTCGTCACATTGCCACTTTGCATTGCAACCGACGTGGCAGGAGCGTGCGCAAGCCGACACCATGGAGTGTCAAGAGGATGTAATTATTGGTGGACACGACGTACGAGGGTAGACGTATAGGAGGAGGCGCAACAAAGGATGTGGCTAATTGCAGTCGCAACGACCGCTGCTGAACGGCGGTGGAGCACCCGTCGATGCGGCATCGAGGCGGATGATGTCACTACTGCTCACGGCGGCGAGCTTGTCTTCAATCGCAGCTTCGTGCTCCTCTTCGCTGGCTTGCTTGGCGCGATGGCGCTCCACCATGCGCTTGACGAGAAGGTCCATTGCCTCGTCGACCTTCTCGCCGCTCTTGGCGGAGACGCGGAACCAGTCTTCAATGCCGGTGGTCGTGACCATCTTTTGAATGGCAACGCCCGACTCGAGCGCTTGGGGCACGTCGAGAAGCAGATCGCACTTGTTGGCGACGAGCAAGACGGGAAAGGGCGTCGATGCTCCTTGCGCCCCGCAGCACGTGTCGAGCTCGCGCTTCCAGTCGACGACCGCGGCGATCGTCGGCTCGCTCGTGATGTCGCACACAATGACCGCGGCGTCGGCTGCGGCAAAGTACCGCCGCGTGAGGTGCGCGAACCGGTCTTGGCCGGCAATGTCCCAGATCTGGAGGCACACGTCCAAGGTGTCGTCGATGGCGATCGTCTTGTCGCTGTAGTCGGCGCCGACCGTCGTCTTGTAAATGTCGGCAAACGTGCCATGCACGAAGCGGCGAATGAGGCTCGTCTTCCCGCTCTTCGCCATGCCCACGACCAGCACCTTGAACATGGCAAAGTCCTTGCCTTCAAGGCCATCATCAGCATCGTCGTCGTCGCCATCTTGTACTCCTCGTCGTCATCGTACTCGACATGCGTCGCCTCGACGTCGTCGTCGTCTTGGTTGGCGTCATCTGCTTCGGGCGAGGCTGCCATGGAGTGGCCCTTCTTATCGGCAACGAGCGAGCTCGATCGCGTGTCGGCGGCGAGGCCGTCGCACTGGTTGTCAAAGCGCATGGCCATCGTGGCAGAGACGTTCGAGCGGCGTATCGATCTTTGAAGTGGCCGTTGTGTCACATGGACAGTACATTATCCGGAATGCTTGCATCGTATCCGGAAAACGTACCTGCGGACGAGATCTTGAACCGTCGCCGGCAACCAAAAGCAACACGACCACTTTGCCTTGCCGGATCAGCTTGCTACGGACTCGGCACCAAGGGAATAAACGCCATTCGCCTTTCTATGCTACAACGCACTGGTCGGAGAGAGTCATGGGCGCAGGTCTGGCCGCAGGCGTCTCCCTCCGATTCGCTCGTTTAAACAATGCAATCAAGGACACGCAGGAGATTGCGTTCCATTCTCAGCACGAGACGTCGTCCGTACCAAGTACACCGTCGAGCAAAGAATCAAAGAGCCAGCATACATTTCCAAATTCAGCAATCCAACGTTTGAATTCCTACTTGGTTCATTTTGAGTTTTACACGTCGAGCGGACAAGCAAATTCAGCTCGGCTCGGCTGGAGAGGAATCCATTCTTCTCCAGCAGCGCCTTGCAGCACTGTGTAACCATCACCGTTGCATCGCAGAGGACCTCGACAGAGTACCTCCCTTCCAAGCCTTGGTCAAGGTCTGCAAATATACGTTATGAGGGGTAGTATAGATACGAAACAAGAGGCTATTACATACGACGGGTATGTGAAAAGATGCATTGTGGCAGGGGATTGGCTGGTCGGATTTCACCCAGAGACCTATTTTTTGTGGTGGCGACCGAATGAGCTCGAACGCCCCGTCGACCGACTCGACCGCCTTGACGTGCGCGGCGCCGATCTTCGGGAAGGAGTGCGCGGGCGTGAACAAGGCCTTCCTTGTCTGCAAGAGCAAGGACGAGAACCCCCGCGCGTGCTTGATCCCGGGCGAAGCCGTCACCACGTGCGTGCTCAAGACGCTCCGCACGCTTGAGACCCACTGCGGGCCGTCGTACACGGCGTACAAGAACGCCATGGACAAGAACTGGCACGAGCTCAAGCTCTGCCGTAAGGAGCAGGCGGCCATGGAGGCGTGCTACAGAGACTGGAAGGCCAAGCAGCAGCAGTAGAGTCGTTGTGTGAGTCCTTTAACCGCGGCCAAATATGCTAGTTCGCACTCTGTCTCTGCGCCTACAACGACCGCAGGAACGCGACGCGGTCCGCAATCGTCTTGGAGAGGCGCTCCAGCGTCGCCTTTTGCGCCGACTCGACCTTGTCCTTGACCGCCGCGTCGCCATCCACACGGACGTGCACTTGGCGCAGCGCCTTGTCGCCTGCGGTCAGCAGCGTCGTCATCTTGAGCACGAGCTGACGCAGTAGCTCCGAGACGTCCTTCTGGACCGGATCCTTGGTCTTCTTCTTGGGCTTCAAGAGCTTCATGGCCACCGAGAGCAGCATCGAGCTGTACGGAACCACGTCACGCAGGAAGATCGATGCCTTCGAGAGTGCATGGGCTGCGACCACACCGTCGACCGCTTGCAGTTGCAGCGTCGTCACTGTCGGGATCACCAACGCGAGACGGTCCAGCGCGGCCTTGGCGCGCGGGAGGTCGCTCGCGACCACAGCCTCCAGCGCATGCGACGCCTCGGCGACGAGTTGCCACTCGGCCGTCATGGACGGATCCGAGAGCACACTGAGAAGGCGCTGCAATGTTGCGATATACGTGGCCGTCTACCATCGTCATCGTTCATAGAGCACTGGAATATATGGAGGTGTCTACCTCGGGCGAGGCGTCGAGCGCAGCCGCCAAAAGCTTGGGCACGACCGCGCGCAGCTCGAGCCACGCACGGAGGCTCGTGCTGTCGCGGGTCCGGTCGCAGCTCGAGACGCCAGCAGCGGCAAAGAGGTACGCGCCGTCCTACAAGGTCCGCACTGCGTCCAGGGTGTCGAGCCTCTTTTTAGCGTACCGTCTTAATCGGTGCTGTCCACGTGACTTCAACTTCGCGGTGGTGGTTGGCCGAGAGCGTCTTCTCCGGAGACAGCAGCTCGTCGAGCTCGGTCTGCAGCGACGGGTCGCCGAGGTGGCCGTGGAGATAGGTCGCCGACGAGCACGCCGTGAGGAGCTGCGCGTGCGCGAGCTCGGCCGTCGCGAGCGCTAGCATCTCGGACACGCGCATCTTGCTGAGCAAGAAGGACGTCATGTCTTGGGCCTTGGAGTAGACGCCGAGACGGTACGCGCGGCCAATAAACTCGGGCGTGTCGCGCGCCGTGGTCTTGTGCAGGTTGCGGATCGCTTCGCAGAGGCGAAGACCGTCCTTGTCCATGTGCAAACCAAAGAGGCCGTCGAGCACAAGGTGCGAGAGCGAGTCGAGCTGGATCTGCTTGACGTCGAGCTCTTTGTAGCGATGTAGGACGGCGTCGCCCGCGCCAAGCAGCGCATACACGCGGCAGAGCAGCATCTTCATCTGGAAATTGTACGCACTGCGGCGCAAGCCGAGCTCGAGCGCCGCTGCCGCCTGCACCAAAAGGTCGATTGAGGACTGGACGTGGTACGCGTCCAAGAGCAAGTGCACGGCGAGCAAGAGCAGATCGTCCGTGACCTGCACCTCGCGCTGCCCGCCGACCTTGGCTTCGTTGAGCCACTGGGCGGCCTCGTACTCGGCGAGGTATGCGTTCGCTTTCGCGATCAGGTCGCTTGGAGGGAGGCGCGCGTCCTCGCCAAGGAACCGGAGCGTCTTGCGCGAGAGCAGGCTCTTGCGAAACTCGAGCGTTGCGCCAGGAATGTCGGTGGCCGTCAGTGTCGTCGAGAGCGCGGTCGAGATCGATGCCACCAACGCCGTGCGCGCGCCGGATGGAAGCGTACTGAAGTAGCGCTGCAGATCGGTAAAGCAGCAACTCTTGCTCGCGAAGCGCTCCATGTACCCAAGGAGAAGCGGCAGCAGCGTGTCCGCAGGCGCGGCTTGCTGAAAGTGCAGCTCGATTTCGGCCAAGTGCGGGCCACGGAGCCGGCTGCCATGCTCCTTCTGGAGCGACGTGATCACGGGCAGCACGATTTCTGGCGACTTGGCCGATTCGATATAGCCGAGCCAGAACGCCCAGTCGTCGGCGTTGTACTTTGTCAGCAGCGTCTTGTAGACAGCCGCGCACCGTTCGAGGTCACCGACGTCCTTGGCCAGGCCAGCTTCGAGCACGAGGCGGTCGATGGCTTGCATGGGGCCGAGCTCGATCTCGTCCTCCGGGACGCCGTCGCCTTCGAGGGCGCGGGGCTTGGTCGTCACCGCGTCGTCCGTGTCCAGGACGTGGATGAACTCGGTAAATGCGTCCATGGCTTCATTCGCCTTGCCTTGGGCTTGCAGCAAGAGCACCAGCAGCGACACGGCCTCGCCGTTGGCTTCGGACGGATGGTCGCGGAGGGCTTTCGCCAGCATCTTGTCGGCGAGCGGCAGCATCTTCATCGGCAACGACTTTTCGATGGTCACTTGCAGCAGCATGCTCAAGCACGCCCAGCCTAGACAAGACGATGATCATGAGGAGGAGGAGGAGGAGGACAGAGGATGTAGTAGACCCTACCGACGTATTGGAGCTTGTTGAACGCCTTGTACATCTTGAAGCCGAGTTGCTGCTGCTTGGGAAGCAAGAGCGACCGCGCGTACGTCTGGAAGAGCTGCGCTTGGACCTCTTCGTTCAACGGCTGGACCGCGGCCGCGTTCTCGTAGACGGGCAGCATCTCGTTGGCAGCGCCGCAGAGCTTGAAGACGAGCTGCATCGTGCTCAGAATCGTCTCTTCGGTCGGCTTCTTGAGCGCGATACGGCGAACGATGCGGAGCGCGTCGTCGACCTTGCCAATGCGCTCGAGGCAGTGCGCCTGGAGCACCTGGACGAGGTCGATGTCGCACACCTTCTTCTGGTTGCAGAGCTTGATGGCGTTCTTGTACTGGCGGTTGTCGATGGCGTCGTAAATGGGGCGGATGAACCGCATGATCTACTCGAGCATGAAGCATTGAGCCGCGTCGCGGTAGGACGTACCATCATCTCGTCGGCCATGATGGCTGGTCGGTCGATGCTTGCAAAATCCACTGCTCGCTTTCCTGTGGCTCGCGTGAAATAGTGTGAATTGACAGATGACAAACAGGATAGCACGCATGCGAGGAAGGCTGGCATCTCCATCGCAATGCATACGCGCAAGTGAGCTTTCATAGAGCCAAGACGTCCTGGTGCATGTGCGAGCCCAAGGTCCTTTGCCTCGACGGCCGTGCCATCCTCGCCAAACGACACTATTTTAGGGTTGAGTTGCATGGACTCCACACGATTTCATGCTACATGGGTAAAATAGTGTACAATGCGAACTTTACGGAGCGCGTGGCGTTTTCGAGGTGGGCAGCAGATTTTCAACGACGCAGGCAGCAGCAGCATGAACCAGTTCCCCGGCGTCACGAGCATGACCGAGCTCCTCGACAGTACGATGCGACGTGCCTATGCGCCCATGGAAGGAGGCTACTGACCATGGCGCATGCGCTACGTAGAGCAGATGCTCGTCGTCCTGCGCGACGGCCGCCACCTCGTCGGCGTCTTCCGCAGCTTTGACCAATATTGTGCGCAACCGCTTCCGCCACCTCGTGGCCTCACGATGCGTATGTAGCCAACATTGTTCTGCAAGACACATGCGAGCGCCACGTCGTCGGCAACACGTACTGCGATATCCCGTTGGGGCTCTACATCATTCGGTAGCACGCTCTTCCGCGTCGTGGACCTCATGCAAATGATGTAGCGGCGAAAACATTGTCATCATGGGCGAATTGGTAGCGATAGCTCGCACGTTCGTGCTCACGCTGTCGTAGGACCAGGAGAAGGAGGCGAGCCAGGTCAACTTGATCAAGAAGACGCCGGAAGAAGTCCTCGCGGCCGAGGCCGACCTCCACGACACGGGCGCGGTCACGGTCCGTGGCACGTGGAACTTTGACGACTAAGAACGCGATGGGCACCGATGTAAACACACAATAGTAATACATAACTATAGATACGCCTTGCTGCTGTCTCCTACCAAAACGGGCCGTCGACCTAAATGACTGTCTCGTGCCGGGGGTCCATGTCGCCGGACGGGTCCATCGTCAAGCTCGCGTTGACGTCGTGCACCATGTGCGCATGCAAATGGTGCGACTGCATCTCCATCATCTGCATGTTGATCAGATGCTGCTGCGCTTGGACGGCGGCTTGGACCGCGTCTTCGCCCGCGACCTCGTCCACGAGCGCCTGCAGCTGCAGCGCAGTCGTGTTGCCCGGGTTGAGGTGGTACCGGGAGCAAAACCGACGGTACCAACCGGCGCTGGCCTTGAACGCGACCATGTTGTACTTGGGCGCGATCTCGAGCGCCTTCTTGCGCACAAAGGTGGAGCTCATGCGCGACTCGTGCGACTGCAAGTCAAAGATGACGCGGTACAGCTCGTCCTCAAAGGCTGCGTTCCCGAGCTTCGAGCCGCGCTGGCGTAAGTCCCGCACGTGCTTGTTCCCGAGCATGTAGCGCTTCTGGACCTCGCTCTTATTCTTGCGCAGCTTGCGGATCGCCGACTCGGAGATGCCATACCGGAGCGCGAGCTCGACGTGGGTGACTTTGGTGCCGGTTTCGATGACTTGGAGGATCTCCATGCGCTCCTTGTCCGTGAGCCGCTTGCCCGCGCCACGCTTCTTGGGCTCTTGCATGGCCATGGACGCTGACGGTGACGGCGCGACCATGCGGGCCATCGCTCGCTCTTCGTCCGTGTCGACACCAGCTACATACATGCCTGTGAGACGCTTGTGGCAGAGTCACTCGTGTTGTACCGATGATCTTTTTGTCGATGCTGATGCTGGTCATGCGTGTCGTGCGGGCGGCGGCGACCTTGGACACGGCGGCCATCGGCAGCTTGACGAGGATGTGAATCCGCTCGTCTTCCGGACGCACTTCAAAGTACTTGCGCAGCTTGGAGAAGACCGTCATCTCCTCGACGAGGCCGCCCACTTGCATCTGCAGCACGATCTGCGCGGCAGGCTTTTCCAGCTTTTGCAAAATGTTGGCGTCGAGCGGCTGGACGTTGCGGCAGCGGTAGAGCACGAGCTCGTCGGCCTCAAGGTCGCCAAAGGTCCGCGGCTTCTCGCGCAGGATGGCCTGCTTCAGCTCGCCGACGAGGTCCGACGTCGACGTCACGACGACGAACGGGCCCTCCTTCTTGCCCGTGCCCACGAGGAGGCAGACGACGACCAGCTTCTCTTCCATACTTCTGACTTCTTCTCTTTCACAGACCTGTGAGCCAGTGACTTTTTTTACTCTGCGCCTCTCTATACCATACAATTGACTATACTATTTGGCCCATCCTCGGCCGCGCCGGCGCCGCGCCGCCACGCGCAGCGCCGTCGGTCGCCCAAGGCGCGCGCGATGCTGCGTTAAGTGCCCCCGTCGGCGCGGCCGCCAGCGCATACAGAAACGAAGAGTTGCGCAAATTCCGCGTACTTAAGTACGTCGCCGCCGGTTTTACGCGGGCGCCACAAGGGGTAGGGCTCGACTCGATACGTTGATATCTCAAAGCGTACGGGACTGCTAGGAAAGGGGACCGAGTGGGGACGAGGGAGAAATGGGCCAAGCTATGGGTGGAGCCGAAGAGGAAGGGGCTGCCTGCTGAGACCCAGCGATCGATGCACGAGGCGATTGCACGACTGTCGTTCTACGTGTACCGGTAGTTAGAGCACTGCCGAGCCTCCTTCAAGTTTTACTACCAGTAGCTCCGTTGAAGTGAGTCTCTCTCTATCAATAGATTAATCAAGTTGTGGTGCCAATTGGATCACGTCGAATGAAACTGGCCACTTGCGGCTATGACGCACTGGTTGCTCGTCGCTCGGGCACCAGCGAGTGTTGGATTCGCAGCTTGGTCAAGAACGCGGCGCGAAGGGCGGCAACCTTGGTTGTGACGACTCGTCCCCAACGACTTGGTCGCTAGCTTACTGGTGGAAGAATGCTTTCCCACCATGTCGTTGCTGCTGCGGCTTATGCACGGCATATATCATCGGCCGCCCATACAACGACCGTTGATATCATTTGCACGTTCTGTTGGTCTTGCTGATTGATGACACGGCGAGTGGTGACTGGTGACGTCAAAGCCAATAGAACGGGTGGCGGGTGGAGGCATGCGTCTGCACATGAATCCAACGACTTGACTGGAATCTCGGGCGCAGAAAACAACGTAGGAAAGGTACGACGGTATTGCACGGAGGCTCGTCGTTGAGGCAGTAGAGGTGCCGCATTAGCGTCGCCCCATCCACTTGTGGTTCAACAAGCCCATCCAAACCAACGTACTGAAAACCGTAGTGTGCCCTACTAGCAGCAACTTTCATGCACGTCCTTGCATTGATCGTCCGTCCTCGTCCAAGCAAAGATGCTTCAAGCCCACCATCTTCTTGGGGTGGAATTGAGAATTCCTCGCGGGTGGTACCTACGGTAGCATACACACAGCTATCAGCGCGTGCTATCAGCAAATCGGAAATTAACAGGCGACGCGCTATCAGCATCACCGTCGGGGCGGTCGGCTAGCCACGGCGTGTCTTGCATGACCAAGGCCGAGGGCGAGGGCGAGGCGAGCTCCCCGAACGTGCAGCCTTATTCGAGCGTCGAAGCCGTGACATAGAATGCGCCTCGAAGGCCCAACGGCAACTTCGCGTGCCACGCCTGTGTGCAGGCGAGAAATCGAAGTTCGAACTTGACGGCGACCAGGTCCCGCAGGTGGTGGCATTTCTGCACAAGCACGATGGCAGGCAGCAGCGACGTGCTTCTGAGCCGCGAGCTCCTCTCGACCATCGCATCCTTCCAGGGCGGCTTGTACCGCGAGGTCCGCCCGATCCTCCGCGACTGGCGCGCCAAGCGCATCCACGCCCGCACGAGCTTCCTCGTCGCCGCGCTCGAGCTCGCGAAAGGTCTCCGCCTCCTCCAGCGACTTGTCTTGTGCCATCCCGAGATCTTGACGCCGGACGTGCTCGACCACATTGTGCACCTCGGCCACTTGGACGCGGTCAAGTACCTCACGCTGCACCTCCCGAACCTGCGCTGCTCGCCGAATGCGCTCAACATGGCGGTGAGCAGCGGCCACCTCGACCTTGTCACGTATCTCTACGCCCAAGGCACCAAGAGCTGGACCGAGCACACGCTGGATCTCGCGGCAGAAAGCGGGCACCTCCCGATGGTCCGCTACCTCCACGACCATGGCCTCAGCGCGTCGACGTATGCGATGGACTGCGCTGCCGGGCGTGGCTACCTTGACATTGTTCAGTTCTTGCATGCCCATCGAAGCGAAGGGTGCACGACATCGGCCATGGACCGCGCGTGCGCGAACGGGCACATGGACATCGTTCGCTTCCTGCACACGAACCGGACCGAAGGCTGCACGCGTGACGCGATGGACAGCGCCGCCGGCAGCGGCCACCTCGACATGGTGACCTTTCTGCACACTCACCGGTCGGAAGGATGTACGTCGCGGGCGATGGACCAAGCGGCTGGGAACGGGCATTTGCACGTTGTTGCGTATCTCCATGCAAACCGCCACGAAGGGGCGACGACGCTGGCGATCGATATGGCGGCCGCGCACGGCCACTTGCATGTCGTCGCGTTTCTCGTGCAGCACCGGCGCGAGGGCTGGCGAGACGCTATCTCGTGGGCAGCAAGCAACGGCCACGATCCCATTGTCGCGTACCTTGCATCGATCTAATCTTATTAACACACACATTGTACAGTACGACCGCTTGTCCATGCACGCGATCGCGATGGGACGCTGACGCGAGGATGGACGGTATAAATCATGTTGGCTATCTTACTGACGTCCTTGCCCAATGTCTTGAGCGTACTTTTCCTTGGCTTCGCGCTCCAAGATCGAGTTGACGCGGCCGGTCGTCGGGTCCGTGCCCAGCGGGCGGCGGAAGAGGAGGATGTGCGGCTCCGGCTTATGGATCGCGTAGTGCACCCAGCCACGGCTCTGCTGCACGCCGAGCTGGCGCCATTCGCTCTCGGTGAGGAGGCGATCGGGCAGGTTGCGGGCCATCTCTTTGGGCAGGATCACATGTCTAGCAGCAGGAGGACGATGAGGCCATATTGGGCGCATGGAGCATCGGCGTCTACCTGTACTCATGCGTGTCGTCGACGTACTTCTCCGAGTACTCGATGCGGGACGACATGTCCTGCGTCATCGGCGGCCGGCGAATCGAAAACTGCGGTCTCTGCGCGAGATGCCAAAAACCTCTCAAATCGAATACTTCAACCGGACACCGCAAATGCCTGGGAGAGACGTATTTTGAAAAATAGCTGGACAAATGTATGTCATTTATTATTAATACACCGAGGACGCGGCCGCGATTGCGCGCCAAAAGCCGACCTCTATGATATGATACTATCGCGGGGCGTGGGATCCTCGACAAGCCGACAATTCTGTGCACATTCCTTGACCAAAGGAGTCGTCCATGGAGAGGGCGCGAGGCCAGCGTGACCGAGTCGTGGTTATGGCGAAGCAGGCAAAGGGAGATATATCGATACAACGCCAAACGACTCGTCTCTGTTTCAATCCCGACAACGATCGCGATACGGTAACTCTGAAACTGCGCGAACGTGGCTTTCCCTTGCTATGCTAGCAGCGTCTTCACCACGAGACTGGCAATCGGCAATGCAACGACGATTGACCATCCATCGCCGCAGTCCTCGCGCGGTTTCACGTAGCCAGGATGACTAGCAGTGCAGTGTACTACTCCGTTCCCACTTCAGACCCATGTAAGTAGCACTCGAGCACACCACGACGTGGACGTGCTACAGCGTCTTGAAGGTTGTCCAGGTGCTTTCTGTCGTGTTGACGGCTCTCGTCGCGTTCGCTTGCAGTGAGCCTAAGATCTTGGCGATGTCTTGTATATGTAGGCGTTCGGGTAGCGAGCTGCTCTGTCTTTGCCACCAACGACGACTTGGTCTTCGTTCGGACCAAGAGGAAAATTCTAGTGTGACCATCGCGATCTTCGCGCTGCTATATCGCACCTCATTGGCCAAAATGCAGCTGCATTGATTGTGTGGCATGCGATCTCATTGGCCAAAAAGGGCTCGACACTGCGGGCCACAAGTGATTTCCGGCCCCAATTTTGTGATTGGTCAAAATGGCAAGCAACTTCAAACGTCATTGCTTGCCTTCCATTTCCGCATTCGCCCACGACGACCATGGAAGCGCTCTCCATCAACGACGTCACGCCGGTCGCGATCGACGACGCGACGGCCCCGGGCCTCGCCCAGCACAAGACCGCCATCCAGGGCCTCTTCAAGCGCCGCCGCGTCCGCGTGAAGG